GAAGCGCGGATGTGACGATTGTGAGAAATGCCTTGGTCACACACCCCGATTCTCATGACATATCCTGATTGTTTACCTTGCTATTAGGCGAACGCATCTGTGTGTGTGTGTGTGTTCGTTCCCTGTAGTATTCGAAGTAGGTACGGATGACGGATCACGAATCACGGTGGAAACTAAAACGCAGAATAGCACTAGCAATTGTACATTGGAATCTTCCGTTATCGAGAAGTATTAAAAAGGCCGCAGAAGTAGCCTCTGATTTATTGAAGAAAACGAATGGTTGAAAAGGTCTTCACCAATGGCCTGCTTGTATTCTTGACCTCAGACAGCTTCTGTATGGACCGCACGACTTCTGATTGGCCGGTACGATTGGCCTGTGGTTCGTTGTCCAAAAACTGCAATGTGTCACTCCTTGACTGGTGTTATCCCCTGAGAAGTCATATCGGGCCATTCTCCGCCGATACAGATGGATCATGTGCGATCAACTCTTCAACCATTGCTTTCTTCCGTCGCCTGACGATACGCTATACCTCAGTCGGTTGCAATAGGACATCGATCCATCATGCTTTATCGACAGGAGCATCACTGTTCGCCCCATTCACGTCCAGTTTGCTCGGCACTTGCAGATTATATTAGATCTCTGTTTTATCGCCGCTGAAACACTAATAAAAATTCTGTCCCTTCCACTACGGAACAATCAAAATGAACAGTTTCACCATATATCTAGAACGGAATGAGCTACCTCCGACAAACCATTTGCAATTGAAATAACGTAACGAGGACTTTCGAAAGGTACTATAAGTTTTATGACAGTTACGGAATTCTATAATAAATTGGAAGCTCAAAAATTTCAATGTTTTACAGAAATATACTTTTCGGAGTATGGGTTCCAGAATTGGTAATCTTTCTCGCTGAAATCATATAGTCCTATTAAAACAATTCCATCACAGCAAGTTTGATGGCTGCATTAAGTTGAAGGTTTGACATGTAAAAATGACTAATGCAAACGAGCTTCGAACAATCGTATGGTCAAAATAAGGTTAGAACCGAAAGAAGACAAATACCGCGAGATGTTAACATTTCTTTCAATCTCTTCAGTCGCTACAACGTAAAACAATCTGGTATTTA